GAAATGCTGTTGGCCCAAATCCTCAGCTTTCTGCTCCAATGAACAGCATAGTTTTTATACATCCAAACTTCCTAGGTGGTTACGATGCAGTGGGAACTGCAGAGCTACTCCAGAAGAACCACCTTCTTCCAGCCTCTTGGTGTGGCTCAGAAGTCCTTAGCTACCGCATGAGCTGAGCTAACTTCAGGGGTGCGAGTAGGGCCTGGATGATAACTTCACCCACCACAGTCTCAGGATAATGACTGTATTTCACATATTTGTTTTTTTCTGCCTTTCCTCCTGCTTTTTTATTCTTTAAACTAAATGACCTATTAAAGTTCATAGCCTGTGTATTTTTTTTTTCCAAATTATTAAGTCCTCTGTGTTCTCCAAAACAGCCTTCTTGTTCCTGTTTTTGAGTGTCAGCTGCCTTCTGGACGAAGGCATCCTGGATAACTTTAAATATAACCTATATCTTACGTCCTTTCCCTGTTGCTCAGGGAGCGCTGATTTTTAGACCTCCGCTTGTATCATGGAGAAAGAAACTGCCTGTCAGCTGAAGAGCTCAAAACAGTCATGCAGGCTCAGGAGTGATGTTCATTTGCTGGATGAACCGCTAAGTAAATTCTGGAAGTGGTGCTGGACAATACAAAAGCAAAATCTGAAACAAATGCAAGTCATTAGCTGTGTGTCCTCCCCAAGCTATTTTGAAATCTAAATGCTTCAGGCATGTGAGAGTCGCTGAGGAGATGGTGATTTTGTTGCTATTGACAGTTTTTTCAAATTCTTGGTTCTCTTGATTGCTCTGGATGGTTTTTGACACACTTGGCTTTTTTTTTTTTTTTCTCTAAAATTTGTGCTGAGACAGTGATGCTATTTTCCCCTCTCTCCCTAGCAGAAAAGGTTCTTCCTTCACTCCCAGGATGCTTTTAAGGTGTTAAATCAGTGTTAGGAGTCATTTCAGTGCAATGTTAAAGAAGACTAAATAACAGCCTAAAAAGTGACATTCATCTCTCTCTGTGGTTGCAGTACAGATGGTGAGAGGCAAGGAGCTCCCAAGTCCCCTGGCTACTCATTTCGTTCCCTGTTTGCAGAGCTGGGAGACGTTCTGGCTCCTAGCAGAGAAACTCTGCTGCCTTGTCACTTGGTGGTTTGCTCCCCTTGCATATTTTCCTGCATTGCATTGCCAGTGATAGCCTCCTCCTCGGCTGTGTGGCTGGCTGCAGCTCTCCCCTCCTGCTAACCTTACTCTATTTAGGGAATCCAATTATTTTGTTTTCATCAACTGTTCCTTCCCCAGATCAGTGGAGAGTCTCTAGCTCATTTTACTCTTTTCTGTAAAGCGATTTAATGCCAGCCGAAGGTGTAACAAGGATATCCTCACCTGCTAAGATTTAAAACAACTCCATTCATTACTGTACTCGCTCATTTTTCCTGATAAGGAAGAGTTATGCATGAGGCTTGAATGAAATTAGTGCTGTACATGCCTCTCCTGGAGGCTAGCGCTAATGTGGCTTAAGGAGAAGTCCTGTTACGTTACCTGCAAGGGTCTAGTCTGCTTGGTAGGAGTACACTGCAACAGCGGCCCATTGCAAGCTGGCAAATGAGAAGAGATTGGTCTACCACGTTAACCACCGAATATACTTTTCTCGAGGGTCTTGCTGCAAAGTAGTATTTTGGTTTTCCGTGAGCGTGGAGAAAGGTGAGCGTATATCTGATTATTAGGAAGGGGTGTGAGCTGGCTAAAATGAGACGTGACCCAACTGTGTTGACTCAAGCAGTTCAGAAACCTAAGATTTCTGGTTAAGGTTCTCCATTTTGTTTTTAAGCTGGTTGGAAATATAGCAATACCTCTCTTGGTTGAGAATTAGTTTGATTAAATTGAAAAGTATTTGTTTTCGAAAGAAATTGTTCACTTTTGGCCTGAAAAACAGGAAAGATTTGGAAGTATCTATATTATCGATAACACTTTGCTGTTGAAAACACTACTATGTTATTTATTTACCAACTATTTAAAAAAGTTTTAGAGAGGGCAAGAAGTGGAAAACGCCAAAATGCCACTGGTTCTATCCAGCTCGGAAACCTGGGCTTATTGCACATGTCAGCCAAACCACTGATTTACTTGAGACCTAGTTCTGCTTCATCCAAGTGACAATTTTGCCCATTGACTCAGGATGTGGTCCAAGCTTTCCTTCCAGTTGCCAGGCCCATAAAGTCTGCATAGTTCAATCTCTTGTCCCAGTTATTTATCAGTAAAACATAGTAAATTGAGAAGAAGGAGTCAGTGCTGCAATGGAGCTAGTCTTTTCCTGGAGCAATGACTGCTACAGATAATTTTGGTCAATAACAGTGTGAAAGCCTTGTGAGATTTACTTAATGTGAAGCTGTGCGCCAAAGGCCCATCTCTTCTCACTCATGTGGTTTATTCTCTAGACTGTGCGTGTGTGTGTGTGTGTGTATATATATATATATATTTTTTTTTCTTTCCAAATGAAAAACATAGGAGGTAAATGTCTGAGGCCCTGAGCAGATGCTGACGCTTTGCCAGTCATTATTTTTTCTGTCCTCTGCCTAACCTGAGAAGGAAAACTGTTAGCTGTGTACAGGACTGGAGCAGGTGAAAATAATCTGTAAAATGCTCTGCTCTGCTCTGTTTTTCTTTTTTCCACCCCTTTGTGAGGTTGAAGTGATTTACACTGAGAAGAAGAGGAAGAATTTTCCCAGGGAAGCACTAGCAGGATCTCAGTTTGGAACTGGACGGGAACATAACTGATGCGCTAGCACAAAAGTAATACTGCGTTTCCACGTCACTCAAAGCAGAGTTGTGCTTTGTGAACGTGAGATCTGTAGTGGTAGATGCAGAATCGCTATTATGTGGCTTCTGAGTATTGTGTGGGTAAGGTGCCATTAATCACACTGCGAATGCAGTAGCAAGGAAAATAGCAAGCTTTTTTTTTTTCCTCAGAGGTGAAAGTTTGGTTATTCATGCTAATAACATAATTGTACAAAGGCTGTTCAAATACATAGAGAGATTTTTTTGCTCTTCTTCTTTTGACAGATAAAGGAAGAATAAGACTGTAAGATTATTCAGGTCAGAAGGGACCTCAGGAGGTCTCTAGCCCAACCTCCTGCTCAGAGCAGGGCCAGCTCTAGGGTCAGACCAGGTTGCTCAGGGTTTTTGCAGTTGGATTTTGAAAACCTCCGAGGCTGGAGGCTGCACCAATATTACACTCTCAGGCTGGAGTCCTTATTATTTACCAGCAGTGATCACCAAACCGCTAGGGAGCTACAAGAGGCGAAGGCAGATGCTCCACACTGGCTCCAGTCTCTCTCCTTGGCCAAGCAAGCGTTGGTAGGACCAAATATGCCTTCAGGTTTCTCCCAGATGGTTCTTCCACGCAGTTCTCCTCTTTTCATTCTTTCACATCTGTAAGAAGTAGTTGAGAGAGGTAGTGAAGCGGCAGGGCCAAAATTGTTAATGGCACAAGACCATTTAACTGGCTAAGTGAGCTAAGAAAGCGCTATTGCGGTACCTTCAGAAAGAGGATACGATTTTGAAGTGCTGGTCTCCTCCTAGCTTTTGCAGGATCTCTGCTGTGAAACTACTGGTTAAGTCTTGTATTTTTGGACCGATTCACCCTCGGTCTTCTCTAACTGCAGGGGAAGTGTACCTCCTCTGTCAAACACGGACCTGAGTCCTCTAATCTGTGTCTTTATATGGAGTCTAGAGGTTTGGACGCTTAATTTCCCTTGAATAATGTTTTCTTTGCAAAGTGTAATTTCCAGTAAGGGCTATATTTGTTTGGCAGTCAACTGAATTATATATTCTAAAAATTATTCGGTGCTGTATATATATGCATACATATAATAGAAAGAGAGAGTGTTTATAATACTATTGGTATGTACATTTTCATCAGTTTAACTTTTCAGTTATTTTTGTGGATCTTCCACTTCTTTATGAAATGCCTGTTCCTAATTATTGTATACAATATTTATCTGCTACTTTACCGTTGCCCTTTAAGCCCATGATTATCGTGAGTGGAAAGAGAGTGATGCTTTTGCATTTCAAGGGGACCTCAACCTCTGGTTTTGTTCTGTTTAATAAGAGATTGCGGTGATTGCACATCCCACTATCACATACCAATTGTGGTTTTCATTTTAATTAAAAGAATTAATTAAAGTTGACTGGTCAGTTCTAGTGTTTTATAGGTTTAGGTTTCTATCTTTTTTTTTTTTTTTAATAGCATTTTGAAATACTTCCAAAATACTTTGAAAAGCCAGGAAGTGAAAGGCAGCTCTAAAGAGCAAGGGAGAAGCATTGTAACTGGAAAATAAATTTGGATTGAATAATCCTACAGCTCTTTAGGGCAGATGAACAACGTAAGTCTTATCTTTTATTGGATTCCAAAGAAAACATTTCAGTATTTTAAGAGAGATGAAGTTACCCAAGTGTCTTGGAAGGCATTAAAAAAGGAAAAAAAAAAAAAATCAGGGTTTTTCAGCTCTTCAAATACGTCAGTAACAAAAGGGTTGTTATGGAAACCCTGAAGATGAGTGTAAAGTTTGCTCGTCTGCTGCTCTGATTTTGGAGAATGAAGTGCGGGAAATTCAGAGACGGTTGTAAACAAGAGAGCCTCGTGCCACCAAGCGAGCAGAGGTGGCCCCAGGGCGAGCTCTGCCCATTGGTCTGCTTCGTCCTCCATGCCAACACTCGGATCCCAACATCCAGCCCTGCTGCCTTTTCAATTCCTCCCCTCTCCTATAAAGCACAAAACCTCATTTTGTCCTGTTTTGAAAGGTGGTGTGTCATTTATCCAAGAGTTTCAAAATACAGATGGAGCCCTGTTCACACTTCCCACTCCAACTTCAGGTTGCCCGAGGGGCTGATGTGGCCTATTTAGTAAAGCCGATGCGCGCGCTTCGGGGAAGCAAGATTTCATATAGAAATATTGAAGCATCGTTTGATCCGAAGGGGTCTCCAAACACCCCGATGCGGAAGCACCGAGATCCGAGCGTGAGCTGGCTTGTGACACATTCCTGTGATGCGCGAGTCTGCTGCAAGCAAGGGTAAATAATTACATTAATTAATAAATGAATAAATTGCTCAGGTGGCGCACTTGTTTTCGCAGGGTGAGATAGCTCCAGCATGCTCCCTGCCTTTATTTCCTATGTAGGTTTAAAAAAAAGGGGGGGAGGGGGGAGGATAACTCTGCAGATGAGGATGGATTGCCAAAATAAAGTGCATGTATCTCCCTTCTCTGACTGATTGTAGGAAAAGGGGTGGTTTTCTTGAATTTCAGCTCAGCTATTTGAGTTTCTCAAAAATCAAAAACGCAAACTGAGCAATCCTCTGACTGTCAACATGTAAATCTAAATTGGAAATTTTCTTGGCACGCTCTACCCTCCACCAGAAAATGGAAGCACTGTTGAGTTTGCTGCTACTAGGCCAGTTTTTTGCCTTCCGTTGCGTCTGTATGGGTGCTGTACAGCGTGCAGATACTGGTATGGTGAAGTGGGGAAAGAAGAGAGAGGGTAAAGGGGAAAGAAAAAGCAGCCATGAGCTTCGGGAGATGGGATAAACAGATATGTGCAAGCCAGGGCTCATACTACTTTCCTCTTATTATTGCAAGTTGGACCAGGGCTATTTTGATATCCTTTGACCAATCCTATGAGTAATAAGGCATCTGTAGTCATGCAAAATCAAGGTAGTTTAGTCTAGATATTATTCTATGAGTAATTCATACCTGACGTGGTAGTTTAAGCATGGTCAGTGAATCGGGTAGACTTAGTTTTTTCAGGAGGCTCTGTGGCTGAGGAGGAGTAACCGGAACCAGCGTAGCGTAGGCAAGAAATTCATCTTAATCTCTGATGATGCTCTCATGGACGAGGAGTGTTTGCTAATGAATAATATCAAAGCAAAGAGGTTTATGGCCTTGCAAGGCACCTGTGTGACAGCAGTGCATGCTTCATTAATATTTATTTGCTTTTACTATTAGAGATGCATCTTAGACAAATGTTTCTTATCTGTGCTACCTGGTTTGTTTTTTCTTCCTTTTTTTTGGTGAGGTTTGGGGGTTCTTTTGTTGTGGTTTTTTTAACCATCTGAATAATGTCCAGAAATATTGTATATTCGATAAAATCCCACTTCACTTTAATTACATTTTTTACATTTTCTCTGTCTACTCAGTAGGTAAATAACTCCTTGAGTCCTTGTTATCTCTATTTGCCCCACTAACGTCCTATTTTAAGATGTGCTTTTCTAGCAGCTTTTTTGTTGTTGGACCTGTAGATTTTAACACCATCTTACAGGCTCACTACAAGGAAGCTCATTATATGGTGCTTGCCTATGAAAGCTGCAAAATCCAGTGTGCATGCCTTTAGGCTAAAACAAACCTTAGGTCAGAAGTCATGGGTAGCATCGGGGAATAATTATTTAGATCAGAAGGGACTTTGGGATGTTGTCTCTTCATCCCCCTGTACACATATATATTGATATCCTTTTAATTTGGTTCTGCTTCAAGATTTGCTTGTGAATGTCTCGAAAGAAAATAGCTGAGAATTGCTTTTATGCACAACCAGAGCATATCTTCTGGAATGATTCATTAGCAAGCCAGAGAGTAACACCTATATTTGCTTCCAAGCTTGTTTGCAGCTGTACTTGTGGCTGTCCATGTGCTGCGTTGCAGCACGGCATCATCCAAGAGGGTTTTACAAAGTTCAGGATAGCTTTCAGTGTCCTGCTTCTGAAGTCCTATCCCAACAGCTAACCTAAATCTTATTTATTTGGGTTACTTTATCTTTGCCCTGCCATGTTCTTAAGTATCTCACTGTTACCTTGCCTACCTCTTCTCCGCTCTACTGGGTACGGCTCAGGCTCTTTATGCTTTGCTTCACCTTCCTGCCTTCCTTCCTCTCGCCTGGGTTTTAATTCTTACTTTTAAAGCCCAGAGGAAGTTTTTTATCCCTTTTTTTCAGATGCACTCAATCCTCCAAGCCTCTTTCTGCCCCTAGGCTGCTTTTCACGGATTTCAGTGATAGCCGCCTTTATTTCCCTTCTCTGTTTTGAAAAATGTTCCCACAGACAATGTAGAAGCTTGCATGCAGATCTGCTCTTATCTCCAGTAACCCTTTCTGGACAGTAAGTCTTGGTTTAAATCCAAGGAGTATTACTGTTATTCACTGCTTCAGGCCTGCAACTGTGCATGTTGATTTACTGCTTCGAGCCCAGTAAGAAAATGGTAGTGATCGCCATGGTCAGCGTTCCCTATGTGCTGTGGGCTTCTGAATGGTGCGATTTAGGCTGCCTGAGACTTGCCAGCTGTTCTTTTGCTTTCAAAACTGCTATTTAATTATTATTATAGTAACTAACGTGAAAGAAAACAATAAGAAATAGCTGTAACGTATCAGTCTTGAAAAAAGCGGAACAAAACTCCCGCCAACTTGCTAGCAAGTCCTGACCAACAAGCAAGGTGGAGCAGCACCGGTTTCGTAGGTATTTACCGTTTTGGGACATCTCTTTGGACAAACCCCTGCTGCTGTGAAAAAGGCTGGTTCATCTTATCTGCTTAACTGCTTTGCTCCCAAATAAATCTAGGTGTTGAAAATCCTCCAAAATAACGTTATAAGGCCAGGGAACCCAATGGCTCCTTCTTCTCCAGTGCCCCAAAAGAGTTATGTCCTAGAGGACGTATGGTCTTGGTTCCGGGAAGCTGGACCACTGGTCGGTCAAATCTGACCGCGCCTCTGGCTGGTTTATGAAAGGCGAAGTAAGTTTAAATAAGTGCTATTTATAAGTAAGTGTGTTATAGATGAGACTAGTAACACTTGCGGATTCTTAAGGCTGACCAGTGCTGACCCCCGAAAAGCCCTGTTTTTAGTCCTCCACAATTTGCAACGTTCTTAAAGACTGAGCTTTATGCAGCACAAGGAATTTGCCCGTTACGTAAATTACATGCCGGCGGACAAATTCTTCAAGTCAAGTTAAATCTGTTTTCTTCCGCACCCGGAAAGAGAAAATGACCATTTAATTCTTGGAAATAAAAAAAATATCTTACTAATGGAGAGAGCCGTATTAGTGCAATTTAGTTTATAGTTCGATTTATTTGAGGAATGTGGAGGCAGCTCAGCCAAAGATGTTATTTAATGTTTAATTGCAATGGACTCGATGTGACAAAGAACCAAATGTTCTCATCAAAACAAAAATAGCCTGCGAGCTTTACCATGATACAGGGCCAAGCGCGTGGAGGTTTCTGCACGTTCAGGATCAAAACGGATCCTGCTTTTATTCATACGTATTTCATTCATCCCGTATTTTTACCTTTGCATGGTTACAATGACCCATATTTAGCTTCCCATCCTGTGGCTCTAAAGAGCCTTTTCCACATACACAATATTGCCAAGGATCATGTCATCTCCTAAAATGCAGCCTCGAGGTGAACCATGGGAACCGCAACCAGTATTTTCCATTTTTGCCGAGAAAAGCCAAGAGCAACTCAATGCAAGCCTATTTTAAGAAGTGCTTAAAAAAATAACTCCTGGATTTACTTAATTGTTAGTATTTATCACTGGGAAATGTAGTACTCTGCAAACACTGCAATTAGGGCATGTAGCAGCTTGGGCGCAACCCCATGCGCAACGCAGGCTATTATCAGCCTGGGTTTGAACCAAACAAAAATATTAACAGATCTTAAGCAGACTGGGTTTGATTGAAACTAGCCACTTAGCAATTAGAGTTTTAATTGCTTCGCAATTAAATTGGCAATTACAGCGCTCACAGTTCAGGTTGCAAAAGCTTAACACCGGTCCGCAATCCCAGAGGAAATTCCCTTGGGGGAAAAACGAAAGCGGGGGAAGGAGCATGCGAAGGAGCAGCCCTAAAGGCTGCTCTCCACCAGGGCTTGATCCATCTGTCTTCCTGACCTGATGTTTGATTGTCAAAACGGGCAGGAGGAGCGTGCGTGCTGCCCGTTTTCCCTTCCCTGCCAGCCCAGCTGTACTCAAGGATGCCTCTCCTGATTTTACGGAAAGCTTCGTTTCCCTGAAGTCCCAGGAGAGCTCCCTGCAATCCTGCAAGCCAGCCCCGACTCTGCATCAGGTTGCAAACCCGATGGTATTACAGCCAAATGCCATCCGTATAAAGCCCCCCCGTAAACGAGTGTTTTCAAAGCTTCTGCTTCCAAAGTTTCTGCTTCGTCAGCTAATTTACTAGCTGCTAATAAAGATTGCAAGTTGCGGATGACAAGAGGAAAAATGAATGGGAATCAAGGCAAGTTGTTTTTCAGTACTGAGGGATTTTTTTTTTTCTGGTTTGACTATATACCTAGGTGACCAGCTTTTGCCTAAAAATCTATGCGAAGGAATGAGGATAAGGCTTGAGCTCTTACTATCCAAGAGGGTTGATGGAAAAACGAGGACAAAAGCTGCTGCTTGGTCTCTGAAGACAAGAGAAGCTGGCACAATGCTTTCTGTATAAAACATTGTTTTGCCAAAGGTGGGGCATGTTTTCAATAATACCGCCTGGAAGAGAAGCAAAGAGCCTCAGGTCGAATGGGGACTTCTGAGATCTGCCAGAATCCAAATATTTCGAGTTATGCACCCGTAAACTGACTTCTGGCAGTTATTTTTGCAGGGAGCTGGCTCATGACTTCTAGAGTTTCTTTCTGTTTAGAAGCCCCATGCTGTTCACCTTTTATGCTTACTGGAAGAAAACTAAATGGATAGCATGATTTGAGTTAGCGAATTGGTTTACGAAACTTTCCTTGCTGATGGAAGTGAGACGGCAAAGGCCTGTTTCACTCCTTGCACAGCAGTAAATGAAACGACTTATCAGTCGGATGATAGTGGTGCATATTTGGTCCATATGAGAATGGAGAAGAGTCGCGAAGGCAAAGTATAGCCACCATAGCTAAGCATCTACCAAGATGCTAAGATACAGAAATTTTAAATTTTGTAGTTTGGCTATATGAAAAATACTTCTATATTGTCCTCCATCAATGCCGAGAGCGTCTTACGGCTGGCAGAAAAATGCATGGATGCAAGCTAATGCTCTGCAAAATCAGCTCAGCTTT